GCGGGCTTCGAACCCACTTGTGGATTTTTTTATTGGGGTTTTGGTTTTGTTTTCAATGAAAAAAAAGAATGAAGGGACCCTTGTGGGCTTCTTGAACAGATTTGAATTGGTGAGCCTGAAAAGCCAGAAAGGTGTAGCGCAACAGCTTGACCTTTGCTAAATTTTTTGCGGCAAAGTGGATTGAGGCCACATGGAGCCAAATTGTGCCGAGAGAAATTAGATTACACAATTTCGTGGACTACCCATCATTTAAACTCTGGCTAAAGCGCCGTGTGTTACATCTCCCATGCACGCTAGCGCCAAAGTCACCTTTAGTATAATAGGACACTCCGTGACTGAAGGTATATTCTGACGAATTGGCGGTGTGGCACTCTAGCCCGCACTTGGGTTTCCGCACCTGTGCATGCTTGTTGCGCATTCTGTGACAGCAGGAGCAGCTCCATGTCATACGTATTTCGTAGCGGAGGTTCATATCAAACGCCCCGGGGCGACAATCGGTACACAACCATCCTAGAATACATTGTGGGCTAGTAAACCTCTGCCGGACCAAAGAACGATTCCCATCACCCCAAAATTTGTACAAGCACTGTTCCTACAACCACAGTTTTACCGTACAATGGGTTTTCTGTGGGAGGCCTCAGAATTTAGTTTTGCTTCTTAATGATATGAACTTACTCACCCCTCACCTCTTTGCTTGTCACTGCTACTGTGAACCTTCAGGTCAAAGAGCAGCCTGCCTCCAACCGACCGTAAAGGCAGTGACACGAGCCTTTCAAGTGGCTGCTCCTACAGCCCGTTGCCCCCATATGTAGTGCCGGACTTCAAGACTCCCGACTTTGAGCGGTTCCGCAGTCCTTTAAAGGACTGCACCATACACAGGAATCCCAGCAAAGGTCTTGCCATGCGATATGGTAAGTACATGCTGCATACTTCGATGTCAATGCCTAAGAAGCACAAAAACTGCCAAAAATTACTCAGAAAAATGTGGTTGCAAAGCTTTAAGCATATTTCTGATGACCATTGAAACTCTGAGTGGTCTGGTGAGGGCCAATCTTGGGGTGACGAAAAATTCAAGTTCGAGTGCTACATATCTGGTTTTAGACAGTGTCAAATTAACGGAAAAATCGAGGTAGCAGTGGCCTTCTGTAACTTGAGTGTGCTTTAAGGGAGGATGGGGGATAAAGTTTAGAGACTTTCTGAACGAAAAATCGCTTTTAGATTTGAGTTGTTTTGAATTGGTGGTGCATTAACGACGCTGAGGATGCTTGGTTGTTTGTGCGGCAGAAGACAATAAAAAATAATTTTTCCTCGAGATGTTGGCGTGGAGGTCTCTTACAAAGTCACGGCTGCAAAGTGGGCAAGATGCCGATTGTTAAAGGAACATGAAAGAACAAACTGTTTTTTCACGTATTAGTAAAGCACAGTTTTGCTGTCCTGAAAACACTACTCTTGCCGCGACACCGCGACATGAGGCCTCTTATGCGAGAAAATGTGCGAAAAGAAAATGCGGGTGAAGACTCCACAGTGTGAAATTTTAAAAATGGCACTACAAGCTTAAGTTTTACTGCTAATAATATTAATGAACTTCTGACAGTCAAACTTAAGGCAACACAGTTCTTAGAGTGCAGTTTGTCAATCTAACTGAAGTCATTGTTTGCTTTTAGTTTAAGCACCGACATCAAATTCAAAACACCTTTACAAAAATGTCATAAGAGGCGTGTGACTATCCTTAGCCTGTACTACAAATCGCTTGAAATGGACATAGTTATAAAAAAAGTTGGATAATTTATTATTTTTCAAATGACAGTTCTCCTAAGCTGATATACCTGATCAATCACTATAACAGCTGTTTTTTTTCTAATAAAGCTAGGTTGTTAAAATTCAGAGGTCATCTATCTCTGCAATTTTCATCAATGTTTGTAAAGCAGTTCCATTATTGACTTCAGCTCTGCAGAGCCCGTTAATTATGTACTCAAACCTTACTACAACAAAGTGTCATGCTGCACAAAAAATAAGTTTGTGATATATAAAAATTCGTTATAAAGGTGCATTCCTTACACTCTTTATATACCAAGTTTACTCTTAATTTATTTCATCATAACTGATATTCATAATGCCAGTGTTCGAGTTTTGAGTGTAGTTGACCTCTATCAACTTTCCATTGATGACAGAGCCATATTGCTAAGCCTTTAAGGCAGTTTTTAATAAAGACAATTCATAACTGGGTATGAAACGAGACTCCTGTGTGGTTTTCATCTCTCCATTCAGATGACAGCTCTTCAGAGCTCGATTCTCCGGTAAGCGCTACGATCGACGTCAAGAAAACGGTGGCTTTCCCGATCCCCGACACGCCAGCACATTACAGTGAGTACTCCGTAAGGACCTCGTAGTGTCAGTTTTTCATGTGCTGTTGTTTCTGGCTGTTTCAAATAAATGCGTGAGCATGGCGGGGCGATTAAATTTATTTGTGGGACACAATGTTCTTGATATTAAAAAAAAGCCATAAGAAATAAGGGCGAGGTGCAAGTGTTAGCCTCGATAATGACAGTACTTGAGAGCGATAAAACTGTCCTGTGCGATCAAGACATCCTTCAAAACAGTACCACTTTGGTGTCTCCTGTGTAACTCATCCAAAAAATAGTTTTGGACTGGAAACATGAAGTTGACTGACTCCTGGTTTGACTTGTGTGGTTTTACTCTGGCACAACCATACGAGCAATTGGTCCAAAATGGGAACCTCGCGAGGAGTGTATAATTTTTTATAATATGGCGTTTCACCGGCAAAGTCATTAAAAATTAAGGACATCTTAGTGCTTTTATTCATGTCGCTATAGTTATCTCTCATGGAAATGAATGTATAGGCATGCATCATGTGCAGGTCTGTTGTTAAGTTTTCTGCCATGACTGCGGATAATCTCGGTAATGTTCAGCACTATTGCAAAAGTGTAAAAAACTGTGATTGGCTGTGAACCTTTCGAACGAGGTTTTTAATTTGGGTACAAGAGTATTAACAAAGGAAAGAGCCACTGTGAAGGGAACTCAGATGACCTACACAGCATTTTCTTCAACCACATCATGTTCAACACCATAAAGTCAGTACCCTCCTCCCCCCTAATCTAGCTGTTTTCACGTCGGGTTTTTCCTCCACACCCTCAAACTTTTGCGATGGCCTACGAATTTTGAATAAATTTAATGCACATTATTTCGAATCGCAAAAAATGCGGGTACAATGAGCACTATAGGTGGTGCTAGCAGGCGGCATGGTGGGGCTGGAGCTTTTCCAGTGGTGCAGCTGTTACCCAGTCTCGGTGTCTTGGGGCGAAAGCTATATACCCGAGGGCATTATGACTAGACTGCTTCAGTAGTTTCATTCCCAGCAGGCAGTGTTGCTTTGCTTCAGCAGCAGTTAGCAACTTTGATTGTAAGAGCGCAGTTGAAAGCGCTGTTGTGCACACACCTTTTCGGCGGGCGTAGCAAGTGGCTAGTATACCCTTTTACATGCTGCACTCCTGCCATTTATGTACTACATGTTGAGATGACGCACCACAAAAAACTTCTTTGTGCCCTGGTGCAGCCGTATTGCATTAAACGATTGCTTTGTGGAAATAAAACAATCGATTCAAAATAAGTTCACTGCCAAGTCTTAATTCTTATAACGTCATGATTTGTTGCGACCACATTCATTGCTTCACCCTTGTAGTAAAACTGTTTTTATTGGCGGTTTTTCATTAGAGGTGTTGTTTATATGCTAGAAAATTATAGCAGTTACTTAACTAGGTTATACTATTATACCATATTCACTTGCAGCTGACACACCTGAACTGAGTGGCAGCCCTGAGGTGTTCACACTTCCCGTCAATGTGAACATGAGGCGGAAGCGTGCAACAAGGAATGTGTCTCCTCTTGTTCTACCGGAATCGTTGCCGGAACACCTTACGGAGTATGTCTAAAATCTTTTGCTTTGGCATCCAATGATTATATACATATATGAAAGAAGTGTATACTTAAGGGCTCGTTTTTCAGTGTTTTACACAATAATTGTGAGATATAACAGACTATATTGCCAAGGAAAGTATAGGGGAAAATATTAGACCGAATTTTAATGTAAATATAAAGAAAAGTGGGTGAAAAAAATTATATATATATAATGTGTGTGTGTGTTGTATGAATATTGCGTGCGTTAGTAAGTTTTAGTTGCTAAGGGAAGTTTTTTTCTGTGACAGCCGAGAAAACTACTAGTTGCGAAATGAGTGTGCAATGCCTTTGCATGCTATGAAGTATTTCGAGAGCTTGAGGGGATTTGAGAGTGCAGTTGCAAACATTCTAAAATCCAAATGATTAGCACGCGTACACACACACACACACACACATACACACTTTGTTCAACATTTGAGAGAAGAGGTGTAGTTAAGACATTATTCTGTAAAGATAAACTGCTTTATTGTGGCTGGGAGAAGACGTCGGAGCATAAGTGGACAGGATGAACACAGATCGATTTGGAAAGCAAGAGTGTACCTGTTTGTAGCAGGAAGCCACAAGGAAATCCTTGTGTCCATATGCTTCGAGTTGTCGATGAACTCGCTCTCACGGTGCCAATTGCTAGCTTCTGGAAGAGCGACCGCCCCGTAAAGGCGTTGGTCCCGAGTGCGAATCTCGCACCAGGACGAATTTTTTAGGAACTAAGAAGCTTTTCTTTCTGACAAATCCTTACGGATTTTCTTATAGCTTCATGCTGCAAATGGGTGATTTTCCCCTTTTTTAATCCCTCCGCCAACTTGCGGGTTTCCGCAGAACTCATCTGTAACAGACTGATTTATTAAAATTACACCAACTTGCCTCCTGTAACAGTGCACGTGCTCAATAAGTCATGACCTCGTGCTAACAGAATGCTCCGTGAAGGCCCCCTGTGTACTTTTAAAACCAGCAGGTGTTCAGTGTACAAATAGCTTCTTAGAAATAGGACTCAAACGACTATGTGCCTGCCGCTCTCTCTGCTGGCTTTCTAGAAAATGGTAAGGTGGCGAGCGGTGATGCGGCGGGGAGATTCGACGGTGTACATGAAAGGGATCGCATGTGCACGAGAGAGATTCAGTGCGAGAGTAGCCTTTCCTCGATGAGATTCAGCCTCGGCAATTATTGCGGTTTTGGCGAGTAGCAGAATCCGTTTGTTACTCCAAAAGCCGGCACGTTGCCGAGCATGTGATCTCTTGCACGTCCCGCGCAATTCAAACTCACCGTGGTCGTCGGCACTGGGAAACGCCTTTTTGAACACTCGGACTGCGTGTTCAGTTCGTGCTTTGTCTCATTGCAAGGAATCATCGATGCGAGACAGATTGTTCTTGAATCGAAGTCTATCGTGTACGCCACCACTGTGTCCAGAAGTGCACTCGATAAAGTCTCGTTCGTAACTGCAGTCAGCACCGATGTTGAGGTGCTGTGGCCCATTTTGTTATTTTACAGTTTGTTGACGTGCTCGGTGTGCCTGCATTCTTGGATAATGGCCTGCATCTCTTTTGTCTGAAACAAGCGTGTCACAATCTGCGCACGTTTGCACAGGTCTTCGTTATACAGACGATTGAGCCCGATGACAAAGGCTTTGTTTGTGCGATTTCGGGGAAGTGCCCTGCAGACTTGCGCTTTTTTCGTGTACAATGGCATTAGAGCACTGAAGTTCACGTAAGGAGAGTGTCTGCTGCGCTTGGTGGCGGGAACCATTGAATAAGTAAGTATGTGCGCGCCATCTGCCGCGGCGCCCGTGCAGCAGCTGTTTAGCTTGGCACGCTTGCCTTTTCTTAGGAGCTTCGCTTGGTGGTGACGTTGAAGTGCCGAGCTAAGGAGCTTCGTGCCTAAAAATGATCAAGCTCTTTCTTTGCAAAAAAAAAACTCCACTGTTCTCTGCAGAATGGGAGTGGTGTGTGGCCGAACGACCTATGTGGGGCAGACCGGGTTATCTATTAAGCGTTTAATAGAGCATTCCAGCTCACTAGGAGGTGAGTGGGAAGCACCTTCTGTTTAATTGTAGGACATGTGCCAAGAAGTAGAAGCCAGTTTTAATGTGATAACTTTGGGGAGCTCATTTTGCAGAAATCAGGACATCGGAGTTATTTGTTGAGAGTGAAAAATCCCTTTATCCGTGACTGAAAGAATAAGATGCAAATAAAATAAATATTTCAGGGTCCAAGTGGCGAGCGATGCTGTCTGCATGGCAAGCAAGTGTTCTACCACAGTCACAATATTTGTCAGAATAGCCTCGGAAAAAAAATGCACTATATCAGTGTCATGTAGTGGAAAGAGCTTACGCTTCATATATTGCGTGGCAGAAGCATACAGTCTCGCCAGGCATCAAAATATGTGAATTTAGCAAAAAGTGGGTGCTCTGAAAGGCCACCCATTATAAGGTCCTCGAACATATTTAACCATAGTCAGCAGCAGAACCATCAACAAAGGTAACAGCTCGGTAGGTTCGCGTGTTGCCCTACGGACACGTAGTGGGCCCTCCGCTGATTCACAAAGTAAAAATGGCCTAGGGGCACTTAACAACGGGGCTTGTAACAGGCATTCATCGATGCTTTGAAACGACCAATGTTACGCACACAGCCATTTGGGAAAGGGAAGGAGGTCTCGAGTTTCTCGTTACGATTCGCCGTCACTCCAGCTAAACCATTCCGACGCTCTGGGTCGGACATATTCTGTGTTCAGAAGACTACTTAAAAGGAGTGGCCTGTCTGCTGTGCTTGCTGTTCTCCTTCTGGATCGATCTGTGTAAATACACTAGCAAATAGTTGTTTCATCTCGTTTTACATCACAGTATCGTGGTTAGTTGGCGTAAAACCACCAGTAATAACTGAATGGTGGCAGAAATCCATCCTTATTTGTGGTGTGGTGTACATTGGTGTGCAAGAGTCTTCTTCAAGTTTCAGTTTGCAGTCCACACTTTTGTTTTTTTCGTTGCAGGAGATTAGAACAGGAGCCTGAAAGTGACAAAGTTGATGAATCGAACGACAAAGATGATGAATCAGACGAGTCTGACTATGGCGAGGACACGGGGGGTGCCACAGAAATCCCCAGTGCTCGAGCACCGACAGTGCCGCTTTTCCCGAGCCCAGACTTGGCAGCCTACAGGCGCATCATCCACGAGGAGATGGCCAGGTGTTACGGTGCACACATAGTGTCAGCAGTCTCAACAGCCGATTCTCCGGCAAGCACAGGTGAGCATACTAGTAATTATAGACTGTGATGGACACTGTGGAACAGTTTAACCTCCACTATAACGGAATTGTCTGTATAACAAACTACAGAAGGCTTTCAGTAAACGGGAAATCTGTTGAATGGAACTGCTGCTTATTAAATGAAACTGCCTCTGGTATATTTGGTCTCGTACTTGAATTCTACACGCTTGTTTGTCGCTTGGTAAATGGAACTCTTGTTAAACGGAATATCCTGGTATCTTTAGGTCTGTTTGATAAGCTTCCTGTAACATGCTGCCGATATGAAAGACTGTGTTTTCGAGTAGTGGAGTTTGCAGGCCTTGCTGCCAGAGGAATACATAGAACAGTGTTTTTTTTTCAGCTGCACTATAGCAAGCATACGCACAACTGCAAAGGAAAGCAACTGCACATTTTGCAATAGAAGTTTACCTCTGTGAGGGTCAAATTTTTTGTGACATAACCTCCAAAGATGTTTATTTTTTTTATTCCTGAACTAAATTTTTGGGCTATTCTATCTTTTAAAATAATTCTCATTGTTTTGAGGGACCATAAAGCATCAAGCAAAATCCTAAAAAAGAAACTCTTATGATTTTTTTAGAACTACCGTAATTACTCGAATCTAACGCACACCTTTTTTCCAATTAAGCGAGTTCATAAACCGCATGCGCGTTAGAATTGAGTACGAAAAAAAAGTGAATACGGTCATTCTATCGCCATCGACATTTCCAAAATGGCCGCCCTCTTCGTGCGTCGGCATGGCGCGTCGGCCATTTCTGCCTATGTGTTTCCCATGTGCAGCACTTCGTACGTGTGCTGAGGAGTTCGTCATCTTGTAGTGCATTAGCATCGACGGCATGGAAGGGCCGACTCCAAAAACTCGAGTGCACTACGATGCCGCTTTTAAAAGAAACGTCATCGCGTGTGCAGAAACGGACAGAAATCGGGCCGCATCGCGGTCGGTCAGAGTTCCCGAAACGTGCGTGCGGGACTGGCGAAAACAAAAACAGAAGATTGTCGACAGCAAAGCTTCACGCAAAGGCTCTAGTGGACCACTGCAGGGTCCGTTTCCGCAAATTGAAGAACTGCTTGGCGAGTATGTGCTTGAGCAGCGAGCGGCACAGCGGCCCGTGACGACAGAACTGCTCCAAGTGCGAGCTATGCAATTAGCCTTAGAAAAAGGTCTAACGCGGAGCCAGTTTAAAGCGAGCGGGTGCTGGCTAACTAACTTTATGAAAAAGAAAGGCTTTTTTCTCCGAAGGTGAATGGGCATATTCGAAAAGTTTTGCGGAGGATTACGATGAAAAGCTTCACAGTTTTCAGAGGTTCGTCCTAAACTTGCAGCACAACAACGGCTACCTGCTTGGGCAAATCGGGAATGTCGATCAGACGCCTCTTCACTTCGACATGCCTGGCACCACAACCGTCGAGAAGAATGGGGCGAAGCAAGTTCGCGTGCTGACATCAGTCCACGGTAAAACTACTGTGACGGCAATGCTCTGTTACACGTCAGATGGGCACAAGCTTGCCCCGTACCTCATATTCGGAGTTCATCGGGTGTGGCAAAGACAGTTTTTTTTCCTTGTCATCCTCGTGCATTGGAATTTGCCAATAACTGGAGCACAGGTCAAAGCTTGAAAAATATTCCGCTTCTTGTAAGGAATCTAAGGCATCATCAGTGCGAGGCAAGGGATATACGTATTTTCTGGTTACATCGTTTATTGCGTGGTAGTCAACGCAGAATCGCACCGAACCGTCTTTTTTTCGTATGAGAACGACAGGTGACGACCAAGGGCTTGAGGAGGGGCGGATGATGTTTCGCTTGAGCATATCAGCAACGTGCTTGTCGATGATCTCGCATTCGCTGGAAGAAACACGGTATGGTCGACGACAGACAAAAGAAGTTCCGTCGGTGTGTATGCGATGAGCCACCGCAGAAGTCTGGCTTAGAGCAGTGGAATGTACATCGAAAAAAAATTATGCTAGTTTCGTCTGCTTGCGGGGGAGTGAGATCCGTGCTGATGGCATGGATGAGAGCCGTAGTAGGTGGATCATCTGTTGGTATTGAACGTGATTCCACCGGAGAGGTATCTGAAGCGACTACAGAGATAGGTTGTGTGTCCACGCGGGAAACTACAACAGTGCCCTTGGTCAGCAGAATCGGCTTATTGGTGATATTCAGTACTGCGAGAAATGCGGTGCCGTCGGAGAAGCGGACAAGACTCGATGAAAGTGCAATCCCTCTGGATAGACAACGGCCTGATTGACTGACTAGGACGTCACCGTGGTCCATGGAGTCAAACATAACCGTGATAACATGCTCGTGGTTAGGTGGCACAAGGAAGTCATTGGCTGTTCGTAGCGGGTCCCATGAAGATTTCGGGGAAATATCATCCGTTTCTCGCATATGTATGAGTCGTTGTCGACAATAGATTGAAGCAGCAGCATCAGGAAGAAATCCCCATCCTACATTAAGCATAAAAGCACAAGAAGCCAGCACGGAATTGAATATGATGCCGGATCCCATCAATGAAAACTCTAACGGTGCATTGGGCTGATGGCCGTAGCTGCGAGTCATTTGCGCTACGTAAGAGAGTGCCAGAATAAGGGGTGGTAACCTTGTGTAGACGAGTACACAAATCCGCATGAATAACAGAAATAGCAGCCCCCGTGTCCACCAATGCCTGAACTGCTACCCCTTCCGCATACACTAATAACAAGTTGGCTAAGCCCTCTGGAGGTCTTTGTGTTTGTTCGAGCGATGAAGCTTTCCCTCCAAAAACTGCACCAGCTAGTTTTCCTAGTGGTAGTCAGAAGTAGGTACAGCCGGTCTCAGAGGAGAAGTTGAGCGTCGCAGAGGTGAAGGGGACCGGCGGGGTCCGGGATAGCAGGGGCGAGGTGCGGCGTGTGGAGAAGTCGGAGAGAAGGAACGTGTCGTAGGGCGTCGCTGGTACTGGTTCGGGGATGGCTCCGAATCCTTTTCGTAATCATCGTAGCCACAACGTTCGTCCTGTTGGCGCTTGCGGCAAAATCGTGAAATATGGCCGCGAATGCCACAATAGTAACATATTGGGTGAGGCGAGTGCCAGGGGGCGTAGTGCGCTGGAGCTGTCACAGGCGCTGGTACTGGCGCTGGGACAGGCGAGTGTGGTGCAAATGCTGCTACGTTGACTGCGCAGGAATAGGATGCGCGTGCTGAACCAAGGCAGGTGGTATGGCAGCAACATGTGCATACGTCATGGGTGGTGTTCGTGGTGCCGTAGTGTTCGATGGGAGAGCGCCAGCCATGGATGAGAGCTCTTCTTTGATGATTTCGCGCAGACCAGCAGATTGAGAGTGAGGCCGAGGGGCGGGTGCACATGGCAACCCTTGCACTTGAAGTTCCTCGCGAATCAGAGTGAGAATCAGTGCGCGCAAATCCGCATCCAAGGAAGGCAGGCTGCCACTGGCGTCTGGGTAGTCTGGGTGCAATCGAATGGCTTGGAGTTTTTCAAGATGCTGACATGTCGTGATGACGTCCTCAACGGTGGTGGGGTTTTTAACAGCCAGATCGTTAAACGCGACATGGCCTATCCCTTTGATGATGTGGCGAACACGATCAGCCTCTGTCATCGCCGAGTTCACGCGGTGGCAAAAGGCAAGGCCGTTGTCAGTGTAGGAAGTGTACGTCTCCCCGGGATGTTGGGCACGCCCATCGAAGTTTTGTTTCGACACTTCGGAATCAATGTTCGGTTTCCAAAAAATCCTACGGACTTGTTAAGCAAAAGTAGGCCAATCCGAAAGCTACCCTCGTGGTTAAAAAACCACGTTTTCGCGACATCGGACAGATAGAAGGCGACGTGACGAAGTTTCTGAGGCTCATCTCATTGGTTATAAACACTGGTCATGTCGTATTCTTTTAGCCATACCTCGACATCGTCGCGTGAAAGACCACAGAATATGGGTGGGTCGCACTGCCAGGCGTTGACGATCCACGCAGGAATGGTTTCTAGGACAGGGGTGCTGGATGTTCCGGGCAACGGTTCTTGAGCCATGACAGCGGACGGGGGTAGCAAGCGGCGACCCGACCGAAGCTCCAGGGGAACGTGACGTCGGAGAGGACTTGGGGATCGAAGCAGCCTCTACCACTCTGTAAGACAGTAGCAGCGTTGGAGTCTCGACGGCGTTTATTAGGCCGAATCAACTGATCATCTCTTCGAACAAAGACGACGTTTTTCGGGATTATTATATATTATTATTATATACAGATGAAGAAGATGAAGGTCAAACGTTGTCAATATTGTGCTTACAATATCTCTATCAGAATTCCAATTTTGGCATGTCGCCAATCACATCCTCAACTTAACAAAGGTGCCGTACTTGCTTCTCAATGCGCGCTTGGGGCAACTGTATACATTTGTTGGGAATGTTTTTAAAGCTGTCATCCTATTCAGCCTCACAACAGACGAGAATATGTGCAGTGTGCAGCTAGAGTCACAGGGAAAACAAGACCAGCTGGCCTCTTCAGATGACTTGTTTTTATTGCATATTTGTAATAGATCACGCAAACAACAGCCTTGACTCGTTAACGTAAAAAAACCATGCAGTTCTGTCATGCAGGGAGCTTATTTTTAATGTTTGTTTCTCCTGGGCTGTGCCTCGGAGAGTTTTTGTTAATAAGGACATAGCTCTTTGTAACAAAAAACCCAAATAAAATTTAATAGAAAAGTAAAAAAGACGAAAATCCCCCACAAAACCGAAACGCTTAATAAACAGTTGACTACACAGGACGAAATTTCTATAAACACCCAACAAAAAAGTTCAAACTGTTCAACTAAATCTAACGTCAGAATGGCTGAGCGGTGGAGTAGAGCAAGATATCAGTGCCTTCACACGCACATGCGGAATTTCGGCGAAAATGAGCAAACCGGAACGCGGTGATTCCGGCTTTAGGAGCGAACGTGGGCTCGCTAGTGGCGATGTGCTAGCGCTAGCTCGAGGCGACGCGTCAAGCAACCTGGGTCAACGTGGCCGGGCAGCTGGACGCACAGCTCGGCACCGCAGCCCGACTGCTTTTGTTCGCCTGTCAGAACGGAAGCCCTCAGGTCCTGGGCAAGAGTTCAGCGATATTACGTATATCCAGGACCAT